CTCTCTCTCTCTCTCTCTCTGTTTCTCACATTCTCTTTCTCTGCCTGGCTCTCTGTGATTGTCTGTCTGTCTGTCTATCTCTATGTCCATCTCTCTCTCTTTCTCTCTCTCTCTCTCTCTCTGTGTCTCTTTCTCTGTCTCAATCTTTCTCTGTCTCCATCTCTTGCTCAGTCTGTCACTCTTTCTCTGACTGTCTGTCGGTCTCTGTCTGTCAGTCTCTCTCTCTCTGACCGTCTCTGTCTCCCTCTCTCTCTCTCCCCGTCTCTCTCTCTGTCTCTTTCTGCCTCTCTCTCTCTCTCTCTCTCTGTCTCCCTCTGTCTTTCTCTCTTTCTCCCCCTGTCTCTCTCGCTGTCTCCCTCTGTCTCGCTCTCTCTCCCTCTGTCTCTCTCTGTCTCTTTCTGCCTCTCTCTCTCTCTTTCCCTGTGTCTTTCTCTCTGTCTCCCTGTCTCCCTGTCTTTCTCTCTGTCTCCCTCTCCCTCTCCCTCTGTCTTTCTCTCTCTGCCTCCATCTGTCTTTCTCTCTCTCTTTGTCTCCCTGTCTCTCTCTCTCTTTCACCCTGTCTCTCTCTCTCTGCCTCCCCCCCTCTCTCTCCCTCTGTGTCTTGGCCTCCCTCTCTCTCTCTGTCTCCGTCTGTCTGTCTCTCTCTCCCTCCCTCTGTCTCTCTCTCTCTGTCACTGTCTCTGCCTCTCCCTCTCTCTGTGTGTGTCTCCCTCTCTCTCTCCCTCCCCCTCTCTCTGTCTGCCTCCCCCTGTCTCTCTCTCTTTCTCTGTCTCAGTCTCTCTCTCTGTCTCCCTCTGTCTCTGCCTCCCCCTCTCTCTCTGTGTCTCCCTCTCTCTCTGTCTCCCTCTGTCTCTGTCTCTTTCTCTGTCTCCCTCTCTCTCTGTGTGTGTGTGTCTCTCTCTCTGTCTCCCTCTGTCTCGGTCTCTCTCTCCCTCTGTCTCTCTCTCTGCCTCCCTTTCTCTCTGTGTGTCTCCCTCTCCCTCTCTCTTCCTCTCCCTCTGTCTGTCTCTGTCTCCCTGTCTCCGCCTCCCCCCTCTATATGTCTCTGTCTGTCTCTCTCCCTCCGTCTCTCTTTGTCTGTCTGTCTCTCTGCCTCCGTCTCTCTCTCTCTCTCCCCCTCTCTGTCCCTGCCTCTCTCTCTCTCCCCCGCTGTCTCTTTCTCTCTAAGTGTCTCCCACTGTCTCTCTCTCTCCCCGTCTCTCTCTCTGTCTCCCTCTGTCTCTCTCTCTCTGCCTCCCTCT